TCAGTTCAGTTTTCAGGTGGCCACCCAAGATTAGAGCCACCAAGTCAGTATCTGACCCACTGTCTTAAGACCTCCCTTCTGTTCCAGAGTTATGACATTGAGAAGTTGTCAGAAAAGAGTTTGAACAGAACATTATGATGTCTCTGGGAAGGCGGTTGATGTTACCCACCCAGACTCTTAACCTGTGGGGAGGGGGAAACAGAGCAATTATCAATAATAAGAGAAAAACTGTTGGTTTTGGATTGTGTTGATTTTGTACCAATGGGGAGAACCCCTGTTTTATCACTGTTTAATTTGAGGAAATTTGAAGAGAACCAGGATTTTAATTCTGCCAAGCAGTCACTGAGGGAGGAGGGTGGGAGGTTGGAAGTGGGTTTACTGGTGAGGTAGAGCTGGGTGTCATCCGCGTAACAGTGGAAGTTGATATTATATTTGCGGAAGATATTACCAAGGGGAAGGAGGTAAATGATGAAGAGAAGGGGCCCTAGGACAGAGCCCTGGGGCACACTTGAAGTGACAGTAGTAGGCTGGGATGTGAAAGATTTTAGCTGAATGAACTGAGCGCAGCCTGAGAGATAGGATTCAATCCAGTCTAGAGGAGTGTGGGTGATACCGTGGAGGATAGTGTGACAGATGGTGTCAAAGGCTGCACTCAAGTCAAGGAGAATGAGAATAGTGAGTAGTCCAGAATCAGCTGCCATGAGGAGGTTGTTGGTGATTTTTATGAGTGCCGTTTCTGTGCTATGGAGGGGGCGGAAACCAGACTGCAACTGTTCATACAGGTTGTTGTGATTTAAGTGGGAGTGGAGTTGAATAGCTATTGTTTCTTCAAGAATTTTGAAGATGAACGGTAAGTTAGAAACAGGACCTAAGTTATTGAAGTCGGTCAGATCAGCACCAGTTTTTTTCAGTATTGGGGTTATTGCAGCTGTTCGGATGCAGCAACAGTTCCAGTGGAGAGAGAGCAGTGGATGATGGCAGGGATCTGTATTTGTATTTTTATCCGAATACAAATACAGATACAGGAAATTTTGCTGGTTGAACAGATACAAATACAGATACAGTTAATGACAGTTTGCTGTGCAGTCGAGGGGGGAGACACCAGAGCAGTCCGAGATGTGACCCTTAGAGTGAGTGTGGACATCAGTATGCTGCTGAAAGCCAAAGCTCTCAAGACAGGATTTAAAGTCTCTTGTAAGAGAGTTATTGATATAGTCCATGTGAATGTTGAAGTCTCCCAGCACTTGAGTGTTTGGTGAAAGCGTAGAGATGTGTGTAAGTAGAGCAGCAAAGTCATTTAAGAAGTCAGTATTTGGTTTGGGGGGACGGTAAACAGTTGCAATGATGGTGGGAATAGGTCCAGACAGTTGACACACAGTAGACTTAAAGGAGCTGAAGTCAGGAACAGACAACGGCGAGACTTTCCACTTCTTGCGGTAAATTATCACGAGACCCCTCCCTGGCCAGAGCCACGGGGTTGCATCATGTGGAACGGTTTATGACAATGACTGCAGATGATCAGTCTGATAATTGAGGACTTTAAAGCTTGTCCAGGTTATCGTTCCCCAAATCACATCAGTACTTTTTTGTCTTATTGACTGATTGTTTACTAAAATCATTGATTTTGACATTGATTGTGGTTCCTGATGTGCTCTGTGTTACAGTGATACAGGGTCAGGATGACTGGGGAGTGACTTACACCTCTACTGAGATCTGTGCTGTAAAAGGATCAACAGTGGAAATACACTGCAGCTACAGATACCCATCCAGAATAAATGACCTTGATACCAAAGTTGAGAATTCATTCTGGTTTATTGATATGACAGATGATGTGTTTGTGGATCTGAAAACAGACCCACAGTATTCAGGTCGTGTGCAGTATCAACATGATGAGATTAGGAATGACAGCACTCTGAGAATCACAGACCTGAGAAAGAGCGACTCAGCTGTGTACAAGTTCAGGTTCATAACAAACCAACCAAGAGGAATATTTTTTGGTCAACCTGGAGTCACTCTGTCTGTCACAGGTAACATTCTCACTGGAATATTTAACAATTCACATCCAAATGTTCACGTTCTTGAAAATACTGTGAATTGCTGTATAATTGCATGTATGTATTAACACAATTAATATTTATGTTCCTTCTACACATATTTAGACCTCAAGGTCAGCAGACCATCTTCATCTTCTTACCTTCAGTGTCACAGCAGTCGTTATTTACCTCGTAATACTTCCTACGTCTGGTACAAGAATGGACAGAAGATACAGGAAGTCACATCTCCTTATGTATACTTCAGTTTTGATTCTGCAGACAGCTATTCCTGTGCTGTAAAAGGATGTGGAGGCTTCCCCTCTCCTTCAGTGTGTGAGTTTACTTACAGTCTTCTACTGTTATATCACCATCTGCTGGAGCCTCTAAGCCATTGCACTGACACGTCTTCAAATGAAATGTTTTCATGTTTTTCTCCTCCAGATGCTCCAAAGCTTCCCTCTGTGTCAGTGAGTCCCTCTGCTGAGATAGTGGAGGGCAGTTCAGTGACTCTGACCTGTAGCAGTGATGCTAACCCAGCAGCTACTTACACCTGGTACAAGTAGAATTTATATCTTCATCTTCAGAGACAAAAACCACAACTTGTCTTCAGCTCCATCCAGTCCTCTGACTCTGGAGAGTATAACTGTACAGCTGAGAATGAGCTGGGGAGGAGGACGTCTAATTACATCTCAATGGATGTAAAATGTGAGTATAACACTCAACCCTACTTCCTACAGATGATCTTCCTATCCACCTTATTCCTGAGGGCACTACTGTAGAAATGATAATGTGCGCAACTTCCTGTGAGAAAGCAGAAGTAGCAGTAAACTAGTTCGTCCCATAGACTGTCTGCGGTTAGTCCCAGTGGCTACCCTTGGTGGTTAACCGCCAATGCTGGTTCTTTTCGAAAGTATTTTGCCTTCAGTTTAGCAAACACTGATTTATTTTTTGACAAATATTTAACTAATGTTGACTCAGCATTTTCTAAAGTGTCTTCGCGGAGTTCTGGTACCTGTTGCACTGTCTGTGTCTGTAACGACTTACAACCAGTCTAAGCTAAATTTTTGTCTTCAGCAACTGTGTGTTGAACATGTGACCAGAACAAAA